AATGAATTAATCACAAATTATATGCGTATTGATGTATTTTTCACAAATAATACACATTTTCCCCAAAATTTGACAACAATACGCATCCTATCTGCATATTTTATTTGTATTTTTCATACATTATTGAAAAAAGAACTAAAAATAACAGAATTTATTTTTTATTTTTTATAATGGCCTAATTTTTCGCCGTACATTTTAAAGAAAGTTACCAAATAATACACGTACGTATTTTATAAATATTACACCCCTTCCGTATTTCAGGGGATTGAAACCCAAGGTAGTCACTATCGCACATTCTTCACTCTCTGGTCATCAGCACAGAATCACATACCGTTTCAATTATCTTATTTCAGTCACAATCCATGGAACTTTAAGATGCACCACTATCTCACTATTCATATGCGCACAAAAGCTCTAACTGAGGAAAGTGAAGATTCCCTACCTGGTCTACAAAGCTATGCCAGTGCCTTAAACCGATCAAGTCAGCAAAAACCCATAGGGTGGTTTCAAACCACTTCTCAAGAGTATATATAACTGAAATACTTCAGTCTCAATCCAACTACATAATGATGTCAACCTTATATCAATATACTTCCAGCTCGTTCCTAAATGCTTGGATAGGGAAACAGTAAGTAGTGATGTTCACATACATGGATAATAAGGTCAAGCTCTTACAATCCCACGACGAACGATTGCTCGTAATCGAAAGATATTACAAAGATACACATACTATCCACCATGCAAGGTTGAAATGAAAACAACCACATCCTTCTCCTCTAGTGTTGTGTCAAGTTGGCCACTCAGCTCCCAATCGCAATCGTTCACAAGGGCCAGAACACCAGGTCTGCTGCAAAACAGAACAAAATTCATGATCTAACAAGAAGATAATGGTCATGTTTCACAGAAGTACTTAAAATGATTTTGTAGCAAATTTGTTTCATTTGAAAGAGTCCTCTCTCCTTTTCGTGTAGTCTTACTATGTTTTACCTTTAATAAATGTTTTCCATCAAACCCATTAACCGCATACTTAATATAAAATTATCATTCCATGTCTGACTTGAAGCAGAATTTAGCTTACACAGTATCTCCTTTCATAAACATTTCAGGCCTCTCCTTGATCAAATTGGTACGAATCCAAGAGAGCAAATCCTTCATTGTTAACTGACAAGAACCAAATGAAAATCAGTTGACTTATAGAAATAAAAGCACCAAAAAGACAAAATCAGCTGCATATTTCATTATTCTTTTTGGCCTTAACAAAAGCTGGAACTTACCTTTTCTGCTCCGTTTTGCAGTTCTACATTGACATTATGAATCTTTACAGAGTTGCAAAGAAGCTCTAATCCTCCGCTACATAAAGAAAATATGATTTCAGGCCAAAAACAAAAATGCAAACATGATTTGACTCAAGCTCACAAGGCACAAAGTAGAAATGGATCACCATAAAAGCACAAAATAAAATGTCCAAAACTCAAACTATGAATACCTTATAAAAGCATCAAGAGTACTAAAAAAAGAATAATATATGACCCTGAACCAACTTAGACATACAAGAACTCATGTAATTTTAAAAGAGCTTGCCCATAGTAAAAAATAGAGAATAAAAAAAGAAACCACATCAACCAAGCATAATACAATGGCAATCTCAGTCAATTTTAAGAATAGCCCATAGAAGAGCCATATCTATAATGTTGCATATTGTCATACTGTCCTTTTTCTTTTTATCTTTTTATCTTTTTGTACTTTGCAAGAACAAAGAACCATTCGAAAATTTTGTGAAATAGTAGAGGGAAAAGAAATTAAGTACCCGAATTCGACGGTCAGCTTCATATCGGAAAATCTGCAGAGTTTCGAAACCTAAAGAAGAAAAGAATGGGAAAGGAATGAGAGCTCAATCAAACTAAAATATCAGTCTCATGTATTTTATTCCAGAAGAAACACAAAATTACTACATAAAGAAATATATGCAAACGCAACCCATTAAACAGATTACCAAGATTTCTAAGTATTACAATAAAAGGAATGCAATTTTGTTGTTTTCTCATTGTTCTATTATAAATCGTTAGGGTTAAAAATGATTCAAATTGGGAACAGTTCGATATCAAATAGATAAAAGCCTCATTTGGGTTTCCTTGTTTGATACATGAACAAACACGACCTTAATCTTTAAGTTCATTTAATAAAATTCACACCAGAAGAAACAGAAGCATGCTGTTTATAGATTGCTGCCAGGACCAGAAGCAAGAGCAGCAAATTTTCAGTGAGTTAAGCTAAAGCGTTAAAAAAATATATGTCTAAAACCTTGTTGTTGTTAAGCAGCAGATGCAGTAGATAGAAGACAGTGGGTACCTTCTTTATTCTTCCTCCTCCTTCTTTCTTTTTCCTTCTTTTCTTTCTTCTTCTTCCTTCTTCCTTCTGCTACCGCTGTTTCTTTTACAGAGGCAAAACCTAACCTCTGCGAGAAGAAGAGGCTGGGTGTGATTAAATCAACTTTTACAATTTACATTTTGACCTCAAGGTTTCTATAATTTTAAAATAACCCCTAGCCGTATCTTGACCGTA